TTCCATTTATATCATTGTCCTGTGAAAATGTTCATACTTCCAGCAACATTCATATTCCAATCAAAGAATTTACAGAATAAGGAAAAGGAATCTAAAGTAATTTTCAGTAGTTCCATACATCTTTATCTCGAATACTTTTCTAAAACATTCAAAGTACTAGACATTTTTACACTTTGAATTTCATATCGATTTCTAAAATAATCCTAGGTCGATGTAATATAGAACGTGGTTTTATGAGATAGATTGGAAGTTCGCAGCCATTAGCTCGATATTGTCTTGAGTTTACAGTACTTTGCCGATGACAATACCGATTGCCCAGGCCTCACCACGAGGAGGTTGCTGCGAGTGGAGGCCCAAGGCAGGTAGATGGAATCACAAGTTCTACATCTACCCACCTTTCACAATAAACCTTATAAATAACTTAAATCTTAACTATCTAATACTATCGGTACTAAAATCCCTCGGCGGATGATTTCTTTCTTGAGCCTAAACCTATAAAAAACTAAGTTCCCTCGTCCTATTACATTAAGCAGGTAATATGCTGTAATAAAGCATATTACACAAGTACCCCTGAGTCGAGTAAAACACTTTTAGAATCAGTGTTGAACCGGTGCAACACTAGGCGTTAAAGGGTTAATAAAAGAAGTACAAACATTTAAAATACCTGTAAGTCCTTTTTTCACGGAAAAAACGCCTTTGATTTTTAAAGCTACAGCGGACTCTATAAAAAAATCTTCAAAAAATTGAGGATATTACGTATGATGGTATGTCGTTACTGTGAAAGGATACATATGGTGCTGTTAGAACTTCGATGAGAAAAAATCTATTTCCAACACTTTTATTTTTAAGTTTTTTAACATGTGCCCCAGTGACTACTACCTATCAGAATTTTTACAGAATTTTTGCATGCTATTAAATAGGGACTTTTGACCTCCCGATCCGGCTATAACCTTAAAAACGAATGAAGATATATTTATAACGTAATATTTTAATCTCATGCAATAGTTAAATTAACGGTAACATTTAATTGTGGGAATAATTTTTGTATACATAACAGAATACGTATGTATATAATATAAAATTTAAATATTGAAGAGGAAACAATTTATTTCCTTCTTTTTAAATGTTTCGCGAATTAATATTTTCAAGTTTTTATTTTACTGAGGTTACAAAGTGAAATTATAAAATAATTAAATATAAAAAGTGAAACCGCCACAGTGGGGGTCGAACGGGGTCTTCCGATTGTTGCTCACGCGTTTAGGTTGCTGGGCATCGCGTCGGAAACGTGAATTTTCGGCCCAGTGGGATTCTCGAATAGGGTTTCTCCAAGGTTTCCTCATTATTTACGTTGCTGGGTGACGCAGATAGTCGGCGAAAACACCCGAACGGGCAGCGCACACGACAGGGCTAGAGGTATGCTTGTGTGTCAGAACGGTGGAAGTAAAGTGGGAGACGCCGGTAGGTTATAGAGAGGGAACGAAGTTCCACGCTTCTGGCGTCACTGCTCGCAGTGCCCATAGTGCTGCAGTGCCGTACGCAGCAGTTTTTGTTCAGTTATCGCGCCGGGTGGACGTTTATTTTGTGTTTTTTTCGGTTCGTTTCACTGTTTAGTGTTATAGTGCCTTAACGAAATTTCATACTGTGATCCATGCGTGCTGTCTGTCGTCCATTTTTTTATTTAAAAATTTGTAATGAATCAAGTAAAATTTTCATTGATCTTCCAAGTGCCTTATCGATCATTTTAGTGATGCGTGTGAAGTTAAAGATTTAAAGTGACGAATAAATTAATCTTCAACAGGTCACCGTTTACTATTAGTATATCCCCTAATTAAAATTCATGCTGCCGTCTAATTATGTTGGTAACCTTTAAAATTCGTATCCATCGTGCAAGTGTCTTATCAGTCATCATTCCAAAGATGTAAAGTTAATTAAGACTGTTTATGTAACGTTATTTGAGTCCATCGTTTCATTCATGTCAAAAACTTCTAACTGAGCGTGGCACTTCATACCTCAGTCTAAATCATGTCGATCGTGCTACCGAATCCTTGTTAATGAAAGAAATTTCTCGTTGATCAACGGAGTGTTTCACCAATCTTTCTAGTGATGCATCTTAATTGGAAGATCGAACTTGAAGAATCAAGGAATATTGTAACAGCCGCATCCACGTAAAAAACAGTGTGTTGAGTGCAGTGTCTAGAACTTCGAGTCTCGAACAGTTTTCAAATGGAGTCGCAGAATTGGTTCTCGAGATACTCGCGTGAAAGTACAGGTTATCTGTCGATCCTCAGAATCATCCAGTGTTTCCCAACAACCACAGTCATCATCATCTAATGACGAATCAGAGTATCGTCTGGCCATTTAGTGTTATGAGTGCAGGTGTTTTTTGGCCCAAAAATCATGCCATTCGTGTTACGAAGGGTGGAACCGCAATATATGTGCCGCGGACATATGCCCGTTGGGGCTGCCCCTCGGCGTTGCCCAGTGATCGTAGAGTTGGAGACGGTTGCGAATGGTGCGTTGATTACCTCGCTGAAGCAGCTTGCGTCCCTTTTGATTAATGCCGAGGATATATTCGCGGATCTTACTAGTGAGCTGACCGCAGTTGCTGATAGAAGCAGCCAACTCAGAATGAGAATCGACAAAGTCGAGAAGCGTCTGAGCAGCGTTGATCCGAAGAAAGTGCCAGTCCGTGAGTATTTCACATATACCGAGCTGGTTTACGATCAAGATTTATCGTTGTTGTTGTATGAGATTCCATAGACTTAGGACATAGATCATAGTCTATGTTTATGGAGCCAATCATGAGAAAAGTAGCCAATCTGTTTTATACAGGGTGTTTAATTTATCTTAAATTCTACAGACAAATAGGAAGGAACTATATTATTAATACATGTATTATATGAAATGTTTCATTTATCTTGAGTGATAGACAAAAATATGAGAGAATGAGCATTAAGGGTCCCAAACAATTAGGAGAATACGAACATTAAGCACCACAAAACAATATAAAGGAATATTAATATTAATGCACGCATTGTACTGTATTTTGGTAAAACTGATCAGGACAAAAGCTATAGATGATTGTTGATATTTATTTACTTTGAGCATTACAAACAATATGAAGTAATATCGATATCAATGTAATCAACATTAAAATATTTATTTAGCAGATTTAATTTTTTCTATACATGAGCTGTTAAAAATTTGGTTCAAAATATTTGCTCTGTCTCCAGAAACATTTACCTCCTTATAGAGGGTTCCAGTGTTAGAATGCATTTTTATTACTCGAAGCAGAAGTTGCTTAAATACTAGTAAACGTTAGTTAATGCGCACGGCTAGTTAATTAATGACTAGTTAACGCTCAATATAACCGAAACTGCAAACCTTCAGACATGGCTTTCTTAGCGTATCATTGGCCTAGATCGACGAATCTATCTTTCCATAATTCATTCGATACTTATACTAATAAATTTGGAAGAAAAACTAATTCATTTTATTAAGAAAGCATGAACGAATTAAATAAGAACAAAATGATAACTGTACTGCGTGTAGTAAACAATCCGCAGTGTCAGTATTTCATTTAGAATTGACTACACATATTAATCATGGCAATATTTAAAATATTTTTTTACTACATTCGTTCCAATACTTTTGTAATGTTCTGTGTTACTTTTTCTTCAAACGAAGTAAAGAATACCTATGTTTATTATCAAGAATTTCTTTGCGTTTGCTAATATTTGAAACATAAAATTTAATGTTTGATACTCCTATACGTAAAAAGTCCTGTAATTGAACATGTCGATAAATCTTCGCATTGAAAGTATGATTAAAATTATTATATACAATAGTGATATCTCAAGTGGCCACATTAGCAGAACCAAACGCTATATCTTATGAGTGACAAAGGCGGTCGTATAAACAGTGTGTGTACGTGTGCGCGTGCGTGCGTGCGTACGGCATGCGACTGATGGTGGAGAGAGAGGCGGAGGGGGGTGGGGAGAGCAAAAGAGAGACAGATGACGGTGAAAACATTACCTGGCGTACCGTGGGAAACGAATCTCGACGCTGAAAGCAAGTATTACGCGAGGCCCGACGGACTATCCGCAATGTTGCGGAGCGACATTTTTTCTTTTCCGTTTCGTTCTAGGACAAGACGTATATACGGATTTTTGTCAGATAAAAACACACCCAACTAACTGCGTTTATTTCGATCCTTGCTGAAATGTCTAATTATACTGTTCAACACATAAAATACCTCATGACTGACAGATCTTTATGAGCTAAATACGAATGTGCAAACCGGTTTTTGCCATCACGGTCACAAGATATAAACGTAATCGAACACATGGAATGAATTGGAAAAAATAATAGGCCACGAAATATTATGAATAAATAAGAGTTATGAAATGCATTAAAAACAGAATGGGATAATATGTCAAAAAATTTTGTGAAAATGTAGTTAACTCCGTTCCGGATCATTCCACGCGAAATCGGACTCGTTTTTGAGCACTATTTCGGATTTTGTTCAAATTTGGATATGCTGTAGTCTTTAGCGATATGTAAACGTATCTCGAAGGATTTTTTAACATTTTTAAAATTGCTGATTTTATAGCTGTTTGAAATGTAGGGTCCACCTTTTTTCAATAAATCATAACTATTGAACTAACCAACTGATCGAACTGAGCTTTGTGGGTACTTACAGTGGAGACATAAGAGCACCAAATAAAAATTATTTCAGTTAAAAGGAAATATATTTTAACCATTTATTTTGCAATTGTAAATAAATACCCTATTTTTGTATACTGGGGAACTATTTAAACTTTTGAAAAAATTAGGATATAACCCTATTTGTCCCCTTTATGGACATGTCTCCAAAAATATGGTCACTTTAAAATTGACCGTATGAAAATTAATTGAAGTGAACGCGGCATTGAATTACATCGGTTCGACCGATTATATATTAACATACTACTGTGATCAAAAAGTAAGGTGAAATTGTCATTTATAACTCCCGGGCATTAGGAAGGCAGGTAAATTTTTTTTCCTACGTTGGTAGGACTGTCTATGACATTTGCCAAGCGTCTGTTTGTCAAAAGGTTTAATTATCTCCGAGTTACACGTGTTTTTGTAAACAACCAAAAGTGAATTTTTCGATTTTTACAATGGGTGATTTTGTTGAGCAAAGAACTTGCATCAAATTTTGTTTGCGGAACGAATATTCTTGTGCGGACACGTTGAAAATGTTGCGGAAGGCATTTGGTGATCAAACTATGGCACAAAAAAACGTGTATAAGTGGTACAACGAGTTCAAAGCGGGCCGAGAACGCGTTGAAGACGAACCGCGCTCTGGACGACCATCAACGTCTATCGACGAGGGCCACGTCCAAAAAATCAAAGATTTGGTGCTTGAAAATCGTCGATTGACAATTAGAGACCTCGCTGATAATGTTGGAATATCATTTGGCTCAGTCCAAACCATTTTGAAGAATGTTTTGTGTCTCAAACGCGTCAACTCTTGGTTCCTTCATCACGATAATGCACCATGTCATACTGCATTGGTTCTGCGCAATTTTTTTGCCAAAAACTCGACTGATATCGTTCCGCAACCACCGTATTCGCCTGATTTGGCTCCGTGCGACTTCTGGCTATTCAGCAAACTCAAAAGGCCAATGCGGGGACGCCGTTTTGACACGATTGAGGAGATAAAAACCGAATCGAAGAAGGTCTTGAAGGCTATACCGGAAAAAGACTATTCCGACTGTTTCGAGGACTGGAAAAAGCGTTGGGAAAAGTGCGTTTTATCGGACGGGGATTACTTTGAAGGGGATGAAATTGATTTGGAAGAATAAATAAAGAATTTACATTTTATAAACAAATTCACCTTACTTTTTGATCACAGTAGTATAGCTTGACACATTCAGTACGGGTGGGAACTGTAATTCCCAACATGGATGAATTTCGCGGCTGATTGGGAATTACAGTGCCCAGACCAATCAAGTGCCCGCCTTTGGGGGATTCGAAGTGGATTTATACTTCTTGTATAGCTACAAGTGAATTTTGTCTATATGAGTGAAACTAAAGGAACACTTTAGTACTGATCCACGGTTACAAATATTTTAAAGTGCGTATCCACTTGTTACGTATCACCGTTGTGTATGAATGTGGTCAGGCAAGCATTGCATCGTTGCGTTTGAAAATTTATCGTATGGTGAGACGATACGATGATACGCAGTAGTGATACAATACGAGTATACGCAACAAATGGATATGCATTTTCAAAGATTTACCCAACGACAAATCTCATGGCCGAATGGAAGGTATAGTTTCTATTAAAAAATGTGTGTTGGAAACCCGGCAAATCAATAATACACTGATGACAATATAATAAATGTATTTCAGAAACTGCAAGGCTTACAACAAACGACTTGCATTTAGACACGACTAAGTACACTATACTATGGAATTGAGTTGATACTAACGATGTTGCGAGTCTTGTGTCTGAATTAGATCTTACCTCCGCATCTTTCCGGGGAGCTTGCATACAGTAGTATTAGGAGGGAGCCGAATGATCTTAGGTCCTTAGCAACTAAATAGGAGAACAACCGAACTTTGTACAAAACCAGACTTTGAAATGGAAAGCGAAGCGATGACGGATAACGTACTTGAGAAACGGCGGATGCATAGAAGTTATCAGGCTAGCGCTCTGTTGATTCAAGACTAACAGATGGTTAGTCATCCAACACCTCCCCTTATAATAAAATTGAAGACGCTAGTGTTCAATTTAATATAACTACAAGATACTGGATTACAGAGTAACACATGTAAAGTATAAAATACAATTTAACATTAATTCTAAATAACCTATACATAAATCATAAGAAGGGTATACACAGTGTAGCTTGTAAGTTACGTGTATAAGTTTAGTACTGAATTTCTTTATGCGAAGCTAAACTTACATTACGTATATACAACAAATTACACATAAATATAAACATAGCTGTGGTTATTTTCTTTTCTGTTTTTGTTTTTTATGAATATATGATCGATTGCTACTAAATATTAGAACTATTCGAATCGGAGTTGCCTCTTTTCTTAGTGCATTATGTGTGTGTACTTTCGGTTTGACCATTGAAGATGGTTTAAAAGGGTGAATTGAAAATATAAATTTTGTGAAATTTTGGCAACATTCTGTTCCTCTCTTTGTGCTCAAGTCCAAGACGTGATTCATATTAGTCTTAACATTCCTTTCGTATTCTACAAATATTTCTAACATATTCTTCGAAGTTGTGAGTTGCAGTATAGAATATTTAAAATTCTTTCCTCTGTCATTAAATTGGTTCTTATTCTGATCGAAATATACATTATGAATTTGAGTTTTTGACGCAACAGTTTGTAATAAGGGATTCCAGAGTAATATTTTGGTGTTTAAAAATGAACTTGATTTTGTCGAGAATTTTTTCATTATCATCGGTTCTATCACCACTTTTAGTTTTAGTTAGCTTTAATGATTTTGGAAGATCTATTACAAAAGAAGATATTTCTACACAATTAAGCATTCCAGGATTAAAGTTTAAACAATTATTAGATATTCGAGGTACATTTGTATATAAAGATGTTAGAAGAGGATTGAATGAAATGATAAATTTTGAAAAGTTAATACTACACTGTTGTTCTCGCAGAATAGGTGTG